AAAACAAACAGAAAAGAAACAAAGCCAGGGCAGGATGCTTGCGGTGAAGGAAGGCATGGCCCCGCCCAGAGAGGCAGCCCAAAGGTCAGAGTAGCCCTGCAAAATACCAAACTCTGGGAGTCAAAAATTCTCACTTTTTTCCCAAAAGAGCCCTAAAACTACATTTTAACAAAAAAGCTCCATTTTTAAAAGACAGTCCAAATTTTAAAACAAGGGACTGGCTACACAAAGGCTACGTAGGCCAAGTGCAATGAACCCAGGGCACCCGCTTGGAATTGTCTGACTCAGCCTCGCCCAGACCTGGTGTGCTGACAGCTGCCCCGGGTGAGGTCCAGAATTAAAGGTCGGGGTCCAAGATAGTCTTCAGGCCAACTCTTGAGTGAGCAGATGATATTCATTATCACCATAAATAGCTGATACTGGCACGATCTCAGAGGGCCACCTCTGACCAGTGAGGGATTAACTCACTGCTGATGGCTGTAGGAGTTTCGTTTAAAGTTCAGTTTTGTCATTCTTCAAATACTATAATGAGCCCACCAGCGCACGAACTCAAAAGTTCTTCCCAAAGACAGAGCCTTGTAAAACCCAATGGTCCTTTCAAAGTCACTGGAGTACAGCAGAGCCTGCGAAAGTCGCTAGCTCAGGAAAGGTTTTATGCCAGAAGGACAGGAAAATGCCAGCACACCGGAAGGTGTCAGGCTTGGGGAGCAGGCAGGTATTCTAGTCCAGCTGAAATAATCTAATTTAGAAATTATAAGACAGTCTTTATAAAGTTGCTGTCCTTGTTGACAGATGGGTGATACACAATACTCACTGCCCCGAAAGGAAAAACTTCCAAAAAACTTGTCTGGTTTTAAACCTGGGCATCTGCTGCCTGTTTCAGGAGACTCGTTCAGAATTTCCCCAGGAAAATGCTCTCCTTGAAGTCCCTAACTTGCTTTCTTATAATGCTAACTTGCCTTCCTCGTCCAGGTTCTCTTACAATTTTTTTCTTATTGATGTCTTTTCTTTGTTGTTTTTTAAGACAGGGTCTCACTATAGGCCAGGCTGGCCTCAAACTTCCCCGATCCTCCTGCCTCAGCCTCTCAAGTGCTGGGAGCACAGTTGTGTTCACCACTCCAGCTCAGTCCCACTCAGAATTAAATACTTACTGCTGGGTGTAGTGGCACACTCCTGTAATCCCAGCACTCAGGAGGCTGAGGCAAGAGGATCACCACAAGTTCAAGGCCAGCCTGGGGTACACAGTGAGTTCAAGGCCAGTCTGGACTACATGTTCAGACACTGTCTCAAAAAAAAAAAATTACTTTCCTTACCAGCCATATGTTTTCTACCTAACACCTGTTTACTTTCTGCTTGGTCCATTTGGCCATTTTGATGCAGCTGCTACTGGGTAAAACTTGCTGACCCCCCCAGCCCCCGTATGCAGTTCACAGTGCATAGTCAGGACTGATGCTTCTCAACAGTGACTTTTATTAGGCTGAAGCACATGAAATACCACTCCTCAACAGCTGTGACCTACAGAACAAGCAATTTCACCTGGCTCAACAGTGCAAGAATTAGCATGTGATGAAGAGGAACAGAGGTTTTTTTTTGAGACAGGGTCTTGCTCTAGCTCAGGCTGGCCTAGAACTCACTACATAGCCCAGGCTGGCCTCAAACTCGATCCTCCTGCCTCAGCTTCCTGAATCCTGGGATTGTAGGCATGTACCACCATGCCCCACTGGAACAGACTTGAATGTACAGAGCAGCAGCTACCATGGGCCAATGCTGTCTGATTGAACTTTCTGAGAATGGAAATGACCTAAATCTTCACTGACTAGTATGTGAGTACTAAGCACTGGAAATATGGCTCAGAAACTGAATTTTTTACTTCATTAAACTGCCTTAGATCTAACCCTAAAAGCTGTCTGTAGCAACAATGCTGAACGACACTTCTGACGGAAGCCTCATCACACAAGAACAAGGTCCCGCTCATTTGCAGGCATTGTGTCTGATGGCCTAGCAGAGATACTTCATAGGAAATGAAATTCCACTGGGTATGGTGGCATGTGCCTGTAATCCCAGCACTCAGGAGGCTGAGGCAAGAGGATCGAGTTTGAGGCCAGCCTGGGCTACATAGTGAGTTCAAGGCCAGCGTGGGCTACTACAGCAGAGCCCTGTCTCGAAAAGCAACAACAAAAAAGTAAATGAAATTCCAAGTGTCTTCTTGCACTGCCGCATTTCCAACCAACTCACTCACTTCTTGCCACTGAAACTCTTAATTCTCAATCTTCCAGATCTGTGTCCTCCCTCGGGTAATTACTGTCCCAGGGAAGTAGAATTATATATCCCCACAGAATGTTCAGAAGGCAGAGACCACGTCACTAGCAGCTGGCAAAGGCCCAACAATCTCCTGACCTGTGGCCTCCTCATTCTTATCCACTGAATGGGCGACAATCATACTGACCCCATAAAATGGGGCTGCTCTGAGGCCTAAATCTACATCAAAGTCATGCAATCTGATTTTTTTTTTTTTTTGGTTGACACAGGTTCTCAAATATGTAATTCAGGCTGGCCTTGAGCTCATTACGTAGTCCAGGCTAGCGGTGAACTCACAACAATCCTCCTGCCTCAGCCTCCCAAGAGCTGGGATTATAGAGATGTGCCGCCTCACCTGGCTGCGATCTGATTTTAACAGTAAGTCTTATAAATTCATCAGTTAACTATTAAGAATATTTTAACAGAATACTCATCTACTTCACTTAATCAACGTTAATTATGGAAACCTCTGCTCTCAAACCCCAAGATCCCTTTTTTGTCCTCTTCCCTCTATTGTGGCTTCTCCAGGCTTCAGGGGCCCCACAGCCCCGCCAGCAGGTTGGCACTGCCTCAGGCCCGGGATGCACAGGTAGACAGTGCAGCCTCTCCCGTCATAATTCTAACTGATCACCCCACATACACCAGAAACAAGATTATGGCAAAGACAAATCTGTCTCAAAAGAACCACTGACTCTACATCTCCGTCATTCATGTGTTAGTTAAAGCTCCTGGCCATAAAAGAACAAGTAAGAAGAATCTGGAGTCCTACACTTTTAGAAGATATCCCTGCTACATAATAAACCAATATTCCAATTAAATCATTTGCATTCAACCATTTAAACAGAGTTTGGTGCTATATAATTATTGCAGCCTGTAGAGTTAGGGCTCATTCCGGCAAAGAACGTAACAGCTCAAATGTGACTCAATTCAGGATTTGTTTAAAATTCTACCATCAACAAAAAATATTCATATACGATGGCACCTCTCTAACTTTCTTTGTAGATGGTGAGAAACCAGTGCCCACGTACAAAAGGAAAGATTTCTGCTGTAACATAGATCCAAACCCAAGGATGCCTCTGTCGGCCTCCTCCAGCTCAAAGGCCCCAGGAGCCGTGCAATCCAGGTTCTCCAGGCTTCTGTAAAGGGAAACTTACTAAGAGGTCTTCCCTAACCTCTCTTCCTTTGCTTGGAGAGGGAAGTGGAATATCCTTGACCTCAGAACCGGAAGCTGCTTCTGGAAGGGAAACAAGCTGGCAGACCACAGCGGGCTGACCTTTGGGAAGTTCACAAACTACAGAGTTAGGCAGCATGCTACATTCTGAGAGATGTCTCCATTAAGGAGAACTCAAGCCAAGTGTGAGGAGGCAGTGGGTGGTGGGAGAATGTTTCTGAACTGCACAGGGCCAGCGTAAAATGTGAGGCCCTTCTGTGGCCATGTCCCAGACTCCAGAAAATTCCATGCAGACAGCCGAACCCGGAAGGTGTCCGCACACTGAGTGAATGGCCCAGCAAACAGTGATGTGGGAGGTTCCCAAGCCTTGTTTCATTTCCTTGGTGCTTCCCAGTCCCTCCTGACCTTTGACCTCCGGGTTATTGCCACACAGCCCTCTATTTGCACAAGGTCCCAGTACTTCCCTGCACAGTCCACTAGCCCTGTGCTGAGTGGGTGGTTCCATCTCCGGGCTATAGATAACAAGGGCCACGGTGGAGGGGCTGGGGGCAGAGCCAGAGGGGCCCAGGGGGTGGGATCCAGATGTGTGGCTCCTGCAGACGGACGAGGTCCACAGAGGCAAAGGGAAGCCAGGCCCACCTCGACAAGCGCCCTGCACATCCCTCGAACCCACTCTGCAGCGTGGGCCAACACTTGTTGACTCCTCCCTCCAAGTGCTAGGTCTCACAGCTGTTTTCTCAAGTGGAGGCCAGAGGGGGCCTCGATTTTCAGACGGGGCTGGACAGTGGGCTAAGGCTGCCCTGCGCCGTGCTGGAACGCCCTCCAGAGACCAGGCAGGGGGCCCGCGGCCCCTGGGTGAGCCCAGCTAGCCGCCCCTTGCCCCAGGAGCAGCCGGAGAGCCAGGCGGGCCAGGCGGGCCAGGCGGGCCGGATGCCAGCCTGCGGGGATGGGCAGCCCGGACAGAGGTGCCTGCTTCTCGTCCCGGGCCTGGCACGACCGGTCCCCATGTCGCACCCGCGGGCGGGCGGGAACCCGGATCCCCGACCCCGGGGCGCTCTCGTGCCGGCTCCGCGCGGCCCCAGGAACCGTCTCCGGCCCGACCGCTAGGGGGAGCCGCAGCGGGCCACACTCCGGGAAGTGGCCCGCGCCGCCCCAGACGGCACCGGGCCCGGCCGCCCCGTCGCGGACCCTCGCCTGCCCCGCGCCCCCGCCCCGCACCCGGCGACGTCACCGCGCGGCCACCTCACCCCGCCGGGCCCCGCCCGCCGCCGCCAACTTTCTTCGCCCAACTTCAGAGCGCGCGGCGCCGGCCGGCGGGGAGGCGCCGAGGGACGCTGAGGGGCAGCGAGGGGCGCCACGTCGCGCCGGCCAGCGGCCCCCAACGCCGCCGCCCGCGGGCAGGCCCACGCCCCCGACCCCCGCCTGGCCGCCGAGGGGCCGCGGCCACCGCAACGAGGACAGCGACGCGGGCCGGGGGAGGGGCGACAAGACGTGTCACCGCCGCTGCCGCAGGCCTGGCCAAGTTTCTCACCTGCAGCCGGAGACGCAACGAGAGCGAAAGGGCAGGAGCCGCCGCCGCCGCCCCGGAACCGCGAGAGACCAGCCGGCCGCGTCGCCGCCGAGAAGCCGCCCCCAAGCCGCTACAGGCACCGCGACCCCGACGCCGCCCGCCCCGTCTGCCGTCCGCTCCGGCCGCCCGCTAGCTGCGTGCGCGCGTGTGGAGTCGTGGCACTTTCTGCCTCGGAGCTGGAGAACGGCCCCCTCCGCCGAGATCGCCGCCTCCTGCCTTCCCCACCCGGGCCAGCCATTCATCGAGCCCCCGCTCCCCATTGGCCCGCTCCCCGCCACTCTCCGGGCCACTGGCCAGTCAGGGTGCGGACAGCCGAGCTACGGCGGCGACCATTGGCCAGAGAGGAGGGTCTCCGCCTCGGCCAATAGACGAGGGGAGGAGCTGCGGGGAGTCGCGGGGGGCGGGGCTGCGCAGCGCTGCGCTGGCCTCTGCGCGGGGGCGGGACCCGGCGCCCCGCCCACCAGGGGGAGGTCGCCGGCCTACCCCGCCCCTCCGGGCCGCGGCGCTCTTCTCTGTGATCGCCACGGCTGCGGGCTCCCAGCGGGCCGCTGCGCTGGGGTGGGCGGCGGAAGGTTCGAATCCCGGCAGTCCAGGCCTGAGCCTCTGGGCGCCACAGGGCTGAGACGGCGGTGGGCGTCACCCTGAGCAGATGGTGCAACTGACCAGAGAAAATGCTTTATTTAAACCTAGTAACTTTGCCCAGAGCTCCTCTGCCTCAGGCCCCTGGATCTAAGGACCAGTTCTGCTTGAGGCCACCCCAGGGAGGGTAAATCCTTATCTTCGGAGAGATTGCCATCGACCCAGAAGGAATTTCCTTGGCTAAATGGAGGAATTAGGGTGGAAGAGCCAGAAGATGCTCAGGAAATTGTGGTGGATGCCTGGTACACTTTGTTAGGGAGGGTCTGTCTGAGATACTGTGCTCACCCAAACCACAGCCGGCAGGGCGATGATCGCCATCCACCTTAGGGCTTTTGTTCCAGGTAGCAAGGTGAGGGAGAGGTTCCAATCCAAGGAGACTCAATTGTGTCCCGGGAAACCCAACAGTGGGCTCTTCATTGCATGAATGTCCTTAATGTTAATCAACACTCTCTTCCTAACCAAATTCAATTAAAATAATTTTAGGTTGGGTTTTTAACAGAGCAGTATTTCTTAAAAGAAACTCTTTGAATTCGAACAGCTTCTTAGAGTTTAGGTTCCTAAGATGCCAGAAGGATTGCAGCTGCCCCTGGGCCCCACACCACTCCCTGATGGCCTGGTGGCTTCAGAGTCCCCAGTGGCCTATCTGCATCCTGGACAATTTCTCCACCACCACCAGCCCCACTTGCCACTGGTACTGCACTAGGCATTGTTAGAAAGGTGTGGAAAAGAAAAACCTTTCCCGGAGAATAAAGAAGGTTAGGTTAAAATTAAACCATTTGTCCCTACTTTCAACTCAGCAGTTCCTAGCACATTAATGATTAATTAACAGGAATGAATCTGGATTATCTCTCTCCACTCATCTTCCATCAGTGAGCCCCATCTTGGAGTGAAATTCAAGAATCCCAGTTTCTGGTCAGCAGTTGCTTCTGACTGGTCCTGCTCAACCATGGCTGAGCTGTGTAACCTCTCTGAGTGTGGATATGCAATCACTCCCTCCTCTGGGCTTGAGGGAGAAATCCATTCATTTCTTCCCTGGGGTTTGTTGAGTGCCTGGGCAACCTAGAGTGATATGTAGGAGAGCTGATCAAAAATACAGTGTGTAGGGCTGGGGATTTAGCTCAGTGGTGCTGTGCCTGCCTTGCAAGTTCAAGGTCCTGAGTTAGATTCCCCAGTATAAAAAAATAAAAATACAGTGTGTATTTCAGTACACATCATTAATTCCCCTCAAAATACACCCCCTTGCTTTGAACACACTTATCCCATCCTTCTTGCCTTTTTTTTTTTTTGGTACCGGGGATCGAACTTGGGTCCTTGTGCTTGTGAGGCAGGCAGCAGAACCACTGAGCTAAATTCCTGGCCCCTTCTTGCCATTTTTTGAAGCAGCTCTAGAAGTCCTCTCTCATAAGTATCTTTAGGAGGTATGATCAAAATATAATGAGTGCTGGGCCAGGGATTTAGCTCAGTGGTTTCACCAGCTGCCTTGCAAGCGCAAGGGCCTGAGTTTGATCCCTGGTACAAAAAAATATAGTGAGTGCTGCTGTTCAGTCCCATCCAACAGAAAGGCGGGTTTGTGAAAACATGACTGTGTGTCCTCAGCAACTTCTGGCTCCTCCCCAAAGTCAAAAAATGATCGCTAAAGGAAAATATTCTGAATGTATTCAAGACATTGAGGCAGCTGTGACAATGCAACTAAAGACACTCAGGAAAGAGGACTTGCAGAACTGCTTCAGCAAAAGGCAAGACTGATGGGATAAGTGATTGAAGCAGAGGGGTATGTTTGAGGGGGCTTCATGGCAATGTGTCTTTTACTGTAATACACTTTTGTTTGGGGATTTTTTGGAGACAGGTCTCACTGTCAGGCTGGCCTTGAACTCTATGTAGCTCAAACTGGCCTCACACTCACAGCGATCCTTCTACCTCAGCCTCCCTAGTACTGGCATTAAGGGCGTGCACCACGACACCCACCTATAATACATTTTTAAAAATATAAACATTCACCCCATATGTTATGGTCATAAGTCCTAGATCCAGGAAAAAAAATTTGCCCAAGGGCCCACCCCAGGGCAGGACCTTCTTTATCTTATTTACTGCTTTAAATTTTCTCAGAGACAGAATCTGGCAGGAGGATTTAGTTGAAAGGTAGTCGCCCCTCAGTATTGGAGGAGGATTGGTTTCCATTACCCGGTTCTGGGGTCTCCTTCCAGAGGTGGTTTGTAAGTTCTTCTTGTCTTGAACGAAAAATTGGACCAAACAAATGCAAAAGGTAGAAAAGCCTTACATTTATTAAAGGTAGGAAAAGAACCATTTGCTGCAGAGCAATTTTGACCATGGAGAAGTAGGAAACAAGTACGCTCTACTACATGAGAGCAGACCACTGTAGAGAGAGCACAGTGGTCCAGACCTCCATGTCCGGTGTCTTTTGCATCTCCCACTCCTCATGCTGATGTCAGGCCTAGGCTGTCCTGTGGAAAGCTTGCTCAGTTCTCAAGAGAAGAATTGGAGCCAGCACTCCCTAATTGGTTCTGTGTGCAGGACCTTGGGGCCTGTTCTGAACATGTGTCCCAGGGCTTTGTAATTAACAGGTCACCCCCACTTTCCTCACCCGTCTGCCACTCCCTAGTCTCCTGCTTCAGTTCCAGACCTTTCACCATGGATACCAGAATCCGAGCATGCCCGAGGCTGGCATGAAATGACACAGTATTTGCATGACACCTGTACACATCCTCCCATACACTTTAAATCAGCTCTAGACTGTAATACTGAGTACAATGTCAACGCTGCATACATAGTTGAACTGCATGGCTCAGGGAATAATGACAGGGAAGTCTGCACATGTTCAGCACAAGTGTAAATTTTTTCCCAAATAGTCTGTGAACTGTGGATGTGGAACCCGTGGAGCATGTGGGTATGGAGGCTTAGGTGTACACCACAGGCTGCCTAGAGATGATCAAAGGAAACACTGGGAGGAGTGGGGTGCGGGGAGCTATGAGGGAGCCTGGTACCAAGCACTAACAGCCATGGGTGGTCAGGGTGCAGTGAGGAAGACCCCAGAGACACCCACTCCAGGCACAGGGACAGGGTGTGATTGACCACACCCAGGCCACACTGGTTCAGAGCTGCTTCTGGGGTACTCAGCTCACCCCATGCCTCATTTGCCAGAGAAAGCCCTGTAGCAGGAAGACCATGGCAGTATTGCAAGTGGCAGAGGACATAGGGGGACCACCATGATGTCTTCTACAAGGAGCCCCACCAGGGACAGGCCAGGAAATGCACTACTGTCAGCACTATCCTGCAAAGGTGGGTTCTGTCAAGGGAGTAAGGGGCATTTGCAGAAAGCTCCTTGGCTGTTCCTTCCCCTGATTCAATATTTGGTTTGGCCTCAGCACGGTGTCTGATTTGGAATGGACCTGCAGCCTGCTCTGAGCTTGACCTTCCTTGGCCCCTGCCTCTCATCCTCAGCTGCCCCATTGTGGCCCAACCTTCACAGCCATGCTCCTTACCCATGCTCCGCCTCAGCAGCTCCCCCAGTGTGAAGCTGCAGCTGCAAACTGGGGTCTCCTCAGCACTGGAGGAATGGGAGATACAAGAAGCATCATTTGCTAGCTCAGGTGTACACCACAGGCAGAGCGCCAGGCCAGGAAGGTCACACCCCTGGGGCGGGGTCCAGGGCCCAGGATACAGATACCTGGCATCCACTGGGGAGCTCTGAGATGGGGTTGGTGATTTCATCCCAAAGTGAGCAGTGTGGTCAGAAAGAGGTGGACTGGGAGCTCTGGGCAGGGGTTGCCCAGCTGAGGCTGGAAGGCAACAGGCCAAACAGCATAGGGACCCAGTGAGGACTGAGAAGGTGCATAGAGGAACCTGGGAAGCCCCGAATGGGAGGGAGAGGGCTGGAGATGTATCCCCAAGGTGACCCTAAGGGACTTCCTTGGAATGATGTAAATGCTCCATGTATTGATTATAGTGGTGGGGTTTTGTTTGTTTGTTTGGTTTGGGGTACCGGGGATTGAACTCGAGACCTTGTGCTTGTGAGGCAGGCAGCAGAACCACTGAGCTAAATCCCTGGCCCTATAGTGGTGGTTTTGTGGCTGTGGTAAAACATCAAATTGTACATATTAAAGCATTCTTATTAGGCACAATTAAACATACAAGAATACCTATTAATTCATGGCAATGCTTTGCTTTATGTTACTAAATTGAAGATAATATTTTAAAAGACTAGCCAGGCTTGGTGGTGCACACCTGTAATCCCAGCATGCTGGGAGGCTGAGGCAGAAGGATCAAGCCCAGCCTGGGCAACTTAGTGACCTAGTGAGACCCTTTCTCAAGATAAAATTTAAAAA